TGTTTGGCACTTCTTTCAAAATCTGTTTTCTCAAAACGATTTGCCGGATTTGGACTCTTTGGTTCAAATTTAGAACCGTGACAAATTTAGAGTCCTGAACTGTAGTGAGCCCAATATCGAACGGAATGGAGGACTCGTTTCTCCCCCGGGGCGTTCGGGGACGTCTACAGTTTCTGGCGACTCCGCTGGGGATTTAGAGAACTTGACTCGAACTCATGATATCTGGTTTTGACTACACTTGTGTGTTTCTTTGCATTGCATTTGCATTGGTGCGCCTAGGACACCGTGTTTGCCATCTGCTATTCCTGAACGGTCTGCCGGAGGCTTGTCTTGTCAAGGCATGACCATAAGGCTGACCGGTTGTGGGCTCTGCCAGTATGGGAACACAAACCCCGGTTTTACCAAGGCACCCTTTTGACCATTCGACCTAGTGCATATTCGGAATCCGTAGTGACCATTCCAAACTAGGACAGGTTGCTACCCGATAGGTTGTTTGAAACCGCTGCGTGCGTAGTGAAACTCTAGCTCCTGACAAAATAAGACAGGGAAATCCTACCCCACTATAGGGGTGTTTTGGATCTCATTTTCTTGTTATGTGCTTTTAGAGTGTGTCTCTACAAGAATGCATGTATTAGTTTACAAGTTTGGGCATCAGGCCTGCGGGCACCAGTTCAGTGTTTCGAGGTATCAAGGGCCTGCGGGCACCAGTTCAGCATTTTGGGAATCAGTTATATCTGCGGGTATCGGATTCAGTTTTGGGGGGGCAGTAATTTTGGGAACAGTGATCAGCAGTCGAATGCAGTTATTCAGTTATGCTCATGTCTGTATTAGTGGGATTGGGCTGAGATGCCGCACGTTTTCTCTTTCAGGGGGGGTTTAGAGACTCGGTTCAGAGCAACCAGTGTTCTCCTTTGCTGAGACAAGACAGAAAAAGGCTCACCGGTTCTTCAGATCCGTCAGTCACCAGTCCGGTCCATCTGATCCGTCAGTCACCAGTCACATCACCTCTGTTCAGTTCAGCAAAACTCGTGATGACGCAAAATTCGGAAGAAATTATGGTAGCCACATCAGACCAAGGAATCACATTGCAAGGTGATACCGATGTTGAAGTGCCACACCCACCCAGGTCACCTGCCGCACATCCGATCTGGGAACCCCAGTTATGTCAAACCCGTGAGCCCACCACATTCGAGTTGATGGGAATGATTGGTGACCTTCAAAGATCTGTGGCCGATCTAGCTTGCGGAATGTCGGCTCCGCCACCAACCACATCGTATGCCGGGAACTTCATACCGGAGGAACCCCCGCTACTGGGACGAATTGTAATCGAACTTAGCCAACCTGAAGCCATACCAAGTTCCAGTAATGGCATGTCGACAACAACGGGGCTCCGCTCTGATGTAGCAACTCAAACCTTCTACCAAGCTGAGGCTAGTGGTAAGAACAAGACGAAGGTGGACACCGATCCCTACGAACAACTCTTGTTGGCTGTTGAGGCTTTGAAAGCCGGAGGATTGAATAAACAGCAGGTGCTCGCTGTTGCTGTAAAAACTGTGGATGACACCTTCCCCACTCAGGCTGAGAGCAGTTTAAGCCAGTGGGAAAATCGAGATGGAGATCGTCGTACCAGAACAGTTCCTTCCAATCCTATCCCTGCACCTGGAAAAGATCAGAGAGCCAAGGCAGCACCTGCCGACCCTTTTTCGAGTGCGTCCAGCAAAAGTCAGCAAACCTCGAAGTACTTACCCCGAGGTCGCAGGGTCTTCCATGCCCTCTACATGCCTTTGTCTAAGGCCCTTCAAAACCTCATCAAAAAAGGGCATCTCAAACCCCCTTCCAGCTAAGCATGATGGTACCCAGTACTGTGCATACCATCAACAAACCGGTCACAGCACCGACAACTGCTTCCGTCTTCACCACGAAGTGCAAGATTTGATTGATAATGAAGTCATCCTCGCTCCAAGCTCGGCAAAGTCTGTCACCACCGGGTTGGTGGATTTCGAGGATAATGCAAGTATGTGATCAGGGGTTGGACCACCTACTGGCGGCGCGCGGTTTACCTCGGATGTGGCGTATGGCACGCACTATTTTGAGCATTTGCGAATGCTAGGTTTGTAGTTTCTGACTTGGGTGTTGAGTCAGTTCTGTAGTTTTGTTTTGAGTCTGTCTCATTGTCTTGAGTCAGTCTTCTTGATTAAGGGTTTGTCTTGTTGTATCGAGTCAGTCCTGTTGTACAAAGGTCGGGTGATTTCGGGGGTGTTACCTCGGGCATCACCATTTTGTTTTGTGTTTGTCTTTTCGTTTTGCTTTGAGTCTATTCCTACTTGGAGCTAGTTACACCAACAAAATTTGAATGGAACAGCGGTAATTTTCACACTCTTGTATTTGCTTCTGCCGTGTGCCAGTTGTACCAGAAGTTCTGGTTGAGATGGCAGTATTTGACCAGAACTGTGTCTTTTCTGTGCCTTGAACCCATTGCATCGACCTAAGTTTTTTAAAACTTTTTCTAACACTGTGATGAAAACAAAGAGGAAGGAATTCCTTGGGATTTGCAAAAATTTGATCAATTGAGAGAAAGAGAGGCATGCTAAGCCCTTAATGAATGAAATCATGCTTGTTAGTGTGAGTACTGAGAAGAACCCTAGCTTTGATCCAGATTGGTTCCACACTACCTTCGGCGCGAGCAATTTGTCGCTTTCTTAAAAACTTTCAAAAACAAAATGTTTTGCACAGTCCTGTGAAGACTTGTGTGGAATCGCTCTTGAGATTGTGCAGCCTAGGATCGCTCTCAGCCTCAAGATTCAATCCTTTTGTTTTCGAACCTTGGACCCATTCAGAACGTTCAACGCTCAACCGCCATGTAAGGCCTGTGTGGCCAGATTTGAAGCAGCCCTCGACCTAGGGGTAGAAAAATGTCAAATGTGCTCGAAAAGTTCAAGATGAAGATCAGCAAGAATGCCAAATCCCAGAAGGGAGGAAAGAAGAAAGTATTGCTGAAGGACAGCCGAGTTCCTATCCACAACACTAGGGGCAAATTCAGCCCCCATTGGATGGACTTCTACTTCGTCAGCAAATAACAGCCATTCTCCTGGATTCAGACGACTTCAGGATCTCAAGCGGAATGTCGGTTCTGCCACAAAATGCATCGTATGCTGGGAATTTCATACCGCAGGAGCCCGAAAACCCGGTAAGGGCGACCCAGGCCAAAAGTTTAGAGCCGAGAAGAAAAAGAACAGAAAAAAAGAAAGTGCAAAGAATGAAAAAAAAAAAGAAGAAGAAAAATGAAGAAAAACGCAAAGAAAAGAACAAAAAAAAAGAAAATCAAAAAAGAAAAGAAATGAAAAGAATTGAAAAGAAAATAAAAGAAAAACAAAGCTCGCAAGGTCGAAAACCCGCAACAGGCGCCTTGGCAAAAGTTAGAGCATAAAAAGGAGAGGTTAAATACCCGAGTGTACCTTAACCCCGAACTACGTAAGGCTTGATTCCCATCTTTGGGATACGTAGGCAACTTCATTCTGAAAGTCAGCCGCACACCTTTCCCAAATTCGATTGTTCCATGCGCTGGTTTTGGTCATCTTGTCTTCTCTGTATCTGAGATTGGTTGTGTTTCGTGCGCTCTGAGACTGACAGCAATGCGCGCTGCGGTGCTATCAACAAGCGGCAACTTTCCGTTGCCATTCAAAACGGCCGAGTGTCATTTCAACACAAGGGCAACTTTTTCCGTTGCCATGCAGTGTCCTTCAGACAAGGGGCAATTTTCATTGCTAATGGGTCCGAAGTTGTGCATCTCACAAGGTAGGTTTGTGCTCGGTTGAGCAGTGGTCGTTTGCAAAAAATAGTTTTTGAGAATTTTTTACTGAGGTTGACAATCTTCTCGAAAAGTACTCCATTTTTCAAAACTGGACATTCTTGGAGACCAAAAAAGGAAAATTTTCAGTGCTCATAACCTAATTGCATGATTTTACTCAGCAAAAATCGAACAACACGTTAATCTAACTCTCATGTTCGGCAAATATAATTGCTTTTAACAGAAGTCAAAAACAAAAATGGTACAAAATAATGACTAAGGGGCAAAGTTAAGTCAGGTGTTCTGTCTTTTTCCCGTTGTCAACATACTTGCCAGAAAAGGGCACTCTACTTGCCAGAAAGGACACTCTACCCGCCAGAAAAGGGGATAACTGAAGTTAACAACAAAGGGCTGAAAGCTCTCTCATCCTCCAAGTAGCGAGGTATCAAGCCGAGTGCGAAGCACGAATTGGAATGAATCGAGATGCTCCATTCCCTCATCCGGTGCATCGACAGATGTCACCGAAGGAAATAGCCGTGAGCTGATTATGTTGGGCATGAGCCCGCAACTTCCTGTTCATCCATCAACCACCCAGGGGAGAGATAAAAAATGAGAGATTAAAGAATAGAGAGATGTGCGCTGAGAGAAAAAGTGAGGAAAATGGCTTTTTCAGCAAAAACAGAGCCTGAGGAGGAACAGACATTCGGCCACCTGCACCCATTGTTCACTAACTTGCAAAAATGATTATGGCAGTGAGCATAATGCAAGTAGTTTATATGAAAAATAAAAAACTTGGCTATGTATGTGTAGCAAATATGTTCTTGTGAAGGACTTCATGGGCATCTTACAAATTCAATTCCTATTTACTTACACAACCGATCAATATTTCTGCTTACTAATGAGAATTAAATAAAAATGTGTTTATTTTAATAATATTGTAAAAAATGATTAACAATGGAATTAATAAATTATTTTTATATAAAATTAAAAAAAAACATATATCTATATTAAAAAAACAGTCAAAAACAATTCTTACAAAAAAAATGGGTCTCTTTAAGTCCCGTGGGACTCATTTCTCAATCCTAAGTCATTACTAGCTATGCTAGCCCCATTTCTCAATGGGATTATGAATCATATTGGATTATTAATCTGGAAATTAATTTCACAACCAAACATGCTTTCAATAGAACCCATATCAATCTTAGTCCAGTACTAAGGCACTAGAATTTCAGGGCTGATAACTCATTGAACAACAGACAATGAAATTCTTTCTACAGCCAAATTCCCATTTGTAGTTGACAGACAATTAATATATTGAAAGACCAAGTAAAGAGCAAAATCCATGAACCCAGGACAATTAACAACTATTGAAACAAACACATCTGAAACAAAAAGACAGAATACTATGTTGTAGCCTATACAAAGACAGTTTGAAGCCGTTTAGACTTCACATCACAATAATTTGACCACATATTTTTCTCCACAAAACATTGCATAGTGCCACCATTGCCAACATCCATCATTATTAGACTACCATAACCGTGCCAAATCTTGTGGCCCCTTAGCAAGCAGAGAAGCAATTATAGCAAAAAGCAACGTATGTTTTGGAATTACTACACAGAATTCTAACTGCCACAAGCCATGCACTCTTCACGGTTTGTTAAAGAACATACCATTTGTGCCATTTTGGAACTTTCATCATCTTCAATTTTGGGTTTTTCCTGCATTGCAAACAAATGTAAGATTTATTTCAATAATTTACAAAAATATACTTGAAATGATCAGGATTATAATAATCCATACAAATCATTACATTAAGGATAGAAGTGTCCACTGTGAACTTGATGGCATCCACTGCAGCACGTGATCTTAGATAATACATTCCAGTTTTCAAATCCTTTTGTATCAAGGAACAAGGAGAAAAAATGAATCAAATATTAATACAAAGCACTTCACCAAAATCACAATTGTTAATTCAAAATGTTTGCACAAAACAATCATCTGCACCATCCAACTCAGGAAGCAATTTTATACTACAATCAAATCATGCATCAATTAATTTCCATACACCGACAATTATATTCATCCAATGTAAAAGGAAAACCTCCACACCAATCATTTATAAGGATATCAATGTTGGTAATGGTCTACATCCATTTTCTTATCTTGTTAATGGCTGTTTTCCACAACCAAACGAGACATAATTTTGAAAACCAAATGTATAAAAACATGTCCCAAACCCATCCATTGATATCTTGACACATCAACTTAAATGAGCATAATATAAGTTATACCAACATAAATTTGACCACAAAAGTATGGCAAACCTCATCATCAAAATCTCAAACCACCAAATGCTAATTAGAACAAAAATTCTTACCTTGGACCACGCATGAAAGTGCAATGAAGTAAGTTTTCCAAAATTGGGTTGGTCCATATGTATATTTAAGCTCTGACTTTGGTCTATGTAGCATCCACGATCAATAACCATATCAACCAATGTCTTTTGCTTAATCTCCCAAATAGTCCTGATGCAGCAAAATGCATTAGTCCAGAGGCAGAATGAATAAGAAAAGGGAAAAGGAAGACGAAAAAGGAAACACACAAATTAGAAAATTCATACTTGTAAATAACTTTTAGTTCATCAGGAATTTCTGGGATTTTCTGAACAGAACCATCCTCATAAATTATCTGGTTCTTAAGTGCAGGTGACCAAAGACCCATCTCAGTTAGGTCATGAAGAAGATGCTTATTCACCACAACAAACTCACCACTGAAAAGGGAAAGAAGAGTATTAGATGACAAGAAGGAAAAATCAACCTTTAGAAGTCACTCATTAGCATATAATGGCAATTACAAACCTTAGAACTCTATGACTATAGATGTTTGAGGTGTACGGTTCAAAACACTTGTTATTTCAGTCCAGAGGCAGAATGAATAAGAAAAGGGAAAAGGAAGACGAAAAAGGAAACACACAAATTAGAAAATTCATACTTGTAAATAACTTTTAGTTCATCAGGAATTTCTGGGATTTTTCTGAACAGAACCATCCTCATAAATTATCTGGTTCTTAAGAGCAGGTGACCAAAGACCCATCTCGGTTAGGTCATGAAGAAGATGCTTATTCACCACAACAAACTCACCACTGAAAAGGGAAAGAAGAGTATTAGATGACAAGAAGGAAAAATCAACCTTTAGAAGTCACTCATTAGCATATAATGGCAATTACAAACCTTAGAACTCTGCGACTATAGATGTTTGAGGTGTACGGTTCAAAACACTCGTTATTTCCAAGAATCTGGCTGGTTGAGGCAGTGGGCATAGGTGCTACAAGAAGTGAATTTCTTACTCCATTATTTGCTATCATATCCCGAAGTGCACCCCAATCCCATTGACTTGAAGGTGTTACCCCCCACATGTCAGGTTGAAGAATTCCCTGGACAGGATAAACACCATATAAGCATCTCTAACTATTGTTAAACATGTAGGTATATCATTTTATGGCCTGGAGACTCTCACCACAAACATGTTAGCCCACAATTGCAAAATTCAAAAACAAAGTGCATTTTCGTTTTGTTAGCCCATAATAAGACATTTCATTAACAGAAGCCAAGTTACTAAATCACACTTTCATGGAAGCACCGCTTGGAAAGCATAACTTGCTCACAGGACTTCCGCTATATGTCTCATATGGGCCTTCTTTTGCAGCCAACTCTGAATAAGCTTTTAAAGCATGATAATATATGGTCTCAAATATGTCTTTGTTCAGCTGTTGAGCCTGCATTCCACAACCAACAAATCATCAGACCCAAGTGATCTAATTAGAAGTTACAATAGAGAAGCACAAACGAAGTTTGCTTTTACCTCAGGTGAATCAAATGCCATGCCAAGTAAAATAAAGGTATCTGCAAGACCCTGTACTCCAATACCAATGGGTCTGTGTCGAAGATTTGACCTTTTTAATTAATATACCAATATTCAAAATCATATCCTAATCCAATTAAACCCATTACATAATGCTACCAATGCCTTTTCAATCCCCTTAAGTAATAGAAAAAACATGAGAAAAATAAATTAGGAGAGGGTCATACCCTTTCCAGTTTGGTGCCAATAAAGCCCCAAATTCCCCGATTTGGGGCTGGGTCAACTTTAGGGTTGGGTGTGAAGGTATATCCGAATCGAAGGAGACATAGAGAGGAAGACAGAGAGAGACACACACACGCACACAGAGAGAAAGAGAGAGCGCAAAACAGAGGACATACCTACCCGAGACAAAGTGACGGTGGGTGAGAGGGAGGGTATGCGTGAGAGAGACGGTGTTGCCGCTGCAAGAGAGACAGAACGACGACTGGGTGATAGGGAGGGTATGCGTGAGCAAGCGCGAGAGGAAAGAAGAGGGTTGGTTACCTAAACGCTGCTGTTGCCGGTGCAAGAGAGATAGAGTGACGATTGGGTGAGAGGGAGGGAGAGAGCAATGAGATTAGGGCTTCTTTTTTTTTTGATCTGAAGAGATAACATAGAATTTGGGAATATCGGGAAAGAGGGAGAGTGGGAGAGGGGGCTTTGACGCGAAATTAGGAATTATTATTTGCGACGATATTAAGGCCGTCGCAAATGAAAGAGAAAAAAGTAAAATTTTGCGACGGATTGGCAAAAGAGTGTCGCAAAACAGGGTCGCAAAACAGGAAAAAAAAAATTTAAAATCAGAAAAATTTTGCCACGTTTAACTTACCGTCGCATATAACCTTATTTTTTGCCACGGTCTAACTTTCTCCGTCGCAAAAACTATAAATTCCGTGACGGCACTTAAACCGTTGCAAAAAGAAAGCTTTTACGACGGCACTTAAACCGTCGCAAATTGTTCCGTGTCAAATGCTCCTATTTCTAGTAGTGTGTTTATTTACATTGGGCCGGATCTTGGAAATCCAGGGTGTGACAGTGTATGTATAGACTTGCCTCTCACGGTTACGCTCCACGTGAAGAGAATAATTCTGTTAATCTTTCCTTCAATCAGGTAGTACCACATGGTCTACCATCATTCTAATCAGTTAAGGCCATGTGATACGTCATTCGACTATCTAGCGATGGTTGCAGATGGAGAGGACTACCCTATATCGTGCCACATATCCGTATCCCACTAATCATAAACCCCGTGCTCTTGTTTAGGTTAGGATGATGAACCTTTCCACCTAGCTGACCATGATAGTAGGATTAGACCAGAGCAAGTCTTCCTGATTAGCTCAATTAGGTCAACCCCTAACCTCCAATTAATGTGGGTTGATATGCTCATCAGTGATGCTAGAGACCTCTAATTTAGAGGCTGTAAACACACCTCTAATGAGGTGGAAAAGGAAAAAAAAACAAAACAAAACAAAATAAACAAACAAACAAACAGACACAGCACTGACAGTGGCAGTGGGTGGGACCCACTGCCACATCACTAGTGGCACCTCTAATTAGAGGTCCCAAGCATTTTTGATATGCTCATCCTACACTAGCAGACCTTCCTATTGTTCACTGGGATGTCTAAGTCATAAGCTTGGGCCTTTTTGAGCCACCCCAGCGGTCTAACGGCCTAGGTAGTATATAAATTATGAGAAAAACCTATTTTGAAACCAATTAATATCAAAAAACAAGGAGAATCCCCTTTTTTTTTTTCAAACACTAATAATCGAAGTTACAATTAGACAACAATGCTTCTAATAATAAATTCTTGTGTCCATATAATGCATCATGGTTTTACTTTCTTAGTTCAGTAATATGCTTTTACTGCTAAAGAGATTTCAGACGAAAACAAATTCCTAGTTTCTATCTCTCTTTACATGATTTGGGTCTGTTATGGGATTGTATTGAATATGCGTTGCATGACTAAGATTCATATATTGTTTAGTTCATTAGAATAGAAGTTAGAATAAATTATTCATTTTGTTAGAATATGTAGTTTTGTGTGTTGTTTTGAAAATTAGTTATTTTAGTTAGCTTTTTAGCTTTTAATGAAAAAACGTGCATAAAAGTAGAAAAACAAAGGTAACTTTTTAGTAGTGACTTTTTGACTAAAATATTCTATTGCCAAACTTATAAAAAGAAAAGAAATGTCCATTCCAAAGAAAACTATCATTAACTAATTTAAGGAAATAGTTATTACATTAGGAAGTTAAAGAATTAATTATTTTATTTCTATTTAAAATTATTTCAGCGACTCAAACAATACTTGAAAGATAGGCTATTGAAGGTAGATTTTCTTATTTATTTATTTTTATAACATTTAGCAAAGCTCCTTGACAAGGCCAAAAGATGTAGGTATATGTCCTTGTCTTGTACCAATCACATCCCCACTTTCCTTTAGGTGAGAGACTCTCTTTACACCTCACTCCTCACATTACACTACACATTCATGCTAATCCTAAGACCATTACATAAGAGTAATCTGTTCTACCACAATTATATGACACAATCCGTAGCTAATCATAGTGATAGAAATATTAACAGAGGGTAAATGTAAATTTACTTTTACTTATGCTTTAGGAGAAAAGTTGGCCTCTTTGGTACATTTTTGGTTTTAAATTTTTGAAGGAAAAAAAAAACCTTGTTTTGGTAAATTAATTATTTCTAAAAAATGTTTTCAAGAAATATTTTTAAATTAATTTACCTTTTAGAAAACATCAAATTGAATTTTCTAAAATGTTTTTCTGCAAAAATAGAATAATATGATAGAGATGTTTAATTTTGAAATCTTCATTGTTTTTGTTTTCGAAAACATAGAAAACAAAAGCGATGCCAAAATGAACCTTTAATTTCTGTAATTTTTAACCGGGCAAAAAATATGTTCCTCCCTTTTTTGTTTGTTTGTTTGTTTGTTTGTTTGTTTGTTTTTGGAAAAGCAATAAGAATTCGTCAATTTCTCTTTTTTCTTTCAACTTCTTATTCAATCTTGAATGTAATTCCCATAAGTTCTACCTAAGAAATAGATTTTCTGTTAGAGGGAAGACATGATTGATTGATTTTGAAGAATTGTATCACGCTTTCTAGGTGGAATGCAAAGTCACAGAATGTTTGAATGGTGATTAGCAAATTACCTTATTTTCTCTAGCTCAAATTAAATATATCTATATATATATATATATATATATTCTCATATGCTTTTCGTTACTATATATATATGAATGTCAAGGCAATGACCTATAGACCTTTATATCTAAATTATTATTATTATTATTATTGGATTAGATTTCTTGTTAGTTCACATCTCAATTTGTGAGAATTTCAGAATTATTTTATACAAATATTTACATCTAAATTAGTACCCAAAAAAAAAAAAAAAATACACATTTCTTTGCCGATAATCCAATCTCATATACTAATTACAATGATTATATTTTCTTTGACGTCTTGGCTTTTGCTATTTTGTTTGCATGTATGTAAGCACACTATGACAGAAAAAAAGATAAAAGATAAGGGATAAGATATTTCTACGAAGATTAAAGAATACAAAATGCACTACAAATTCTTACAAAGTACAAGGGTAGAAACATGAAATGAAAAATAGCAAAAACTACCTACTTTGCATAATTACCCTTAGAAGTTGCATCTACATTTTGCTATTGCCAGATAGCACTTCCTTCCTCCTATATAATATTTAAATGACGATACTAGCCAGCCAGAGAATTTCAATAAAATCTAAAAGTAAATAATAGCTATCACCACAACTATAGTGTAATAGTGTAAATTCACACCCATTTGCTATATTAGGTTATAGAGGCACAAGGCTTTTAGAACCTTCTTTGATAACAGTAAGTTAAGTGACCTTAAATAGTTAAGCTACACTAATGAAAAAGGGTTGTGAATTGATAAAACGCAGCAAGACATCAAATTCAGAAATATTTATCTAAAAATATAAATTAATGGTTCAAATTTATTTTACTCATAAATCCTACACTTAATCAATTTAATTTTCAAAAAATTCTGGTTTTATCCAGAATTTTATAACTATTTCCAACAAAATAGTTAAGCTACACTAATGAAAAAGGGTTGTGAATTGATAAAACGCAGCAAGACATCAAATTCAGAAATATTTATCTAAAAATATAAATTAATGGTTCAAATTTATTTTACTCATAAATCCTACACTTAATCAATTTAATTTTCACTGTGCATACCCATTCTAGTAAATTATGAGTTCCTAATTAAGAGAACTTAGCTTTTTTAGATTAAAAAAAAATGTATGGATTTAAAGAAAAATAAATGGATTCCATACAAATAAAAGAAAATAAAAACTTACAAACAATTCATTAAGAATGTCAAAATCACAGCAAGAAATTGAAGAACCCTCAATATATATTATATAAATCCAGTAACACAATGGGGAGAGAGAGAGACCATTAAAGATTTAATATTTGAGTCAACTCTTAAAAGCTTCCATATTAATTAAAGATCTGGAGATGTCCTTTTAAAGTGCAAAAGAATAATAGCAGAATTTTGTATGGTCTCTACCCATCCCAAGTGTTCCCAACCCAATAATTGTAACGAACTAAAAAATTGTATATTTTAATCACACAGTCAATTGAAAATCTATGGACATGTAACAGAGGATACAAATAACAAGAGAATATCAATTATTTAAAAAAATTTACAATCAATTATAAATTTTACAAATATTAATAATTAAAATTTTAATTTTTTTCATGAATGTGTTATAAATTTTTTGAAGTAACACTGGTAAGCTTCCCTAAATAAAAGATAACATTTCCATTCAAATAAGTCAATTTGCACAAGTGTTTCTCTAAGTTTAATTTCTCTTAATGTTACCATCAGTCTTAATTTATACATGTGATTTACAGATTACTACAAGTGTCTAATATGACTCTATATTGGGATTCTTAGTCAATAAAATTAACATTAAAAAATAAAAACAAAAAGGGTACAAATCAGTCAATGAATATCATTTTGGTTTAAAGGGCCGTTTTGATGGGTTCCATGAATTGGACTCTAAGAACACATATTTATCACAGAGTGATTACACTACAGAAAATGTTTGTTTTAATGGCGTTTATTTAATGACATTTTTTTAAATGCCTTATAATATTTAATGGCGTTTTATAAACGTCTCCTTTTGTGCTAATTAAAACGGCACCGTTTAGCTAATAGAAGTCGTTTATAAACGCCTCCAAATGTGTTACAATCTCTCACACACTCTTCCTTCCTCTTGAAACTCTCATTCTCTCTAAACCCTTTAGTCTCAGTAAAGAAGATGCCTCAAATCTCTCCCTCACTCTCTCGCTTCAGCTCGGTGATCCCTAAAATCTCAGAGTGATTTCAGAATAGGAATCGATTGGTATCAACTCAGTGATTTCATTTGTTTACCTATTCCATTTACACAAAAATCACTGAAAGGTAAACCTATCTACATCAAGCTTCAGAATCAATTTCATTTACTGAGAGGTAAACCTATCTGCGTCAAGCTTCATAATCGATTTGCATCAAGCTTGGTGATTTCGAT